GTGGTATGATGTTGAATAAAGGACATCCCGAGTCCTGCGGCACTGGCGCGGAGCGCCGAGACATGGTTGTATCATAGTATGTCAAGCGCGGTGAAGATCAAGATCAAATTCATTGAGATTTGACAGGACTCTGACAAACGTAGAATAAAAGTGGTCAGTGACTGAATCATTGTAGAATCAATGTCAGAATCAATAAAAGGGGTCGGTCAAAGCTGAGTCGATTCTGCATCGATTCTAGCTCGATTCTGAGATCAGAATCAATGTGAGAATCGAATCAGAATCGAGATCAGAATTGATTCCCCAGAGCGCTTTGACTTCCCAATAGGGAAAGTCAAAGTTGAATTCCAAGGCCGATTCTGATGCCGATTCTGCCTTCGATTCTGGGACGATAATCGGTGTAAATCCAGAATCGGTCAGAATCGGTGTTACGACTCCGGAGCAGCATCTACATCAGAATCGGTCCAGAATCGGTCCAACCATAGATATCTCCGTGAATCAAGCGACAATCACATGGAAAATGGAATTCCCACGAAATGGTGAGAATCAGGTTGGTCAAAGCTCCCCAGTGAGAAAGCCAGCGAAGGAGGTTGAGGCAGATTGAGAAAATGAGGGAGAATGAGTCAGATCGAGAACAGAACAAGGAAAGGACTGACCACAAATTGACAGATGTGCTAAATTGACTTTTGCTTTCACTTGATGTGTTAAATGACTGCAAAAGCTCGTGAACACCACTACGTCACCGGCACGTCGTCTCCCGAGTTATGAATAAATAAAGTGGTACAATGTGGTGGAGTTTCAATTGCCTCTTGCTTCCTCCCATCTCGACCTTGCGGCAAATTGCATCCTCGTCTCTCTCGTTCTCCCTCTTCATATCCCCTTCTCTGGCTCCTGCCCATTGCTGTGACTTTGCACTGGTGCGTTAATCTCAGTTACTTGTGGTGGTGTGGAACTAACTTTCGCTCAGTGTCCGCTCGCACACACTGTCTCTCCTCAATAGTACGTACTCCATTTGTGGGCCGCTTATCCTGCTAATTGTCTTATATATGGTCCTCATTCATTAGATGGGGCGTAGAGAGTGTCCTACACATCTAGATCATTGTAAGCATCATTCCTTCCGTCCTCTCTTCTTCTTCGCTTACCTTTCAGTTGCCTAGGATTCCCCGATGCATCCCAGGACACACCGAGCTCCTTGGCTTTGGATTCAACCGTAGTTTGCCCTTATGACGCCCGCAAGACTAGAGCGCTTTCGCGAAGGATCAGTGCGTGGCAGGCAGCATGCAGTGTGCAGACGGGGCATTGTAGTCGTATATACCTGTGTCCCTGTACTAGTAGTAGAAGTGCCAAATATACCTGGTTTTCAATTCTCTCAATGTGCCTCAATGTAATTCAATAAAATTTACACGCCCCTCGATGCTGCTCAATCTGGGTCATTTTACATTGAGGTACAATGAGGCATGTCCAGAATATCGAGGCAGATTGAGGACCTGCAAGACTCCTCGATCTGCCTCATTCTCGCTCAACCTCCTTCGCTGGCTTTCTCACTGGGGCTCAGGCCGATTCTTGATTGATTCTGGAAACAGAATTGGTCGTGAATCGGAACCAAAATCGGCCCATCTGCTGCAACTTAGACTTCCCCTCACTATATGTGCATAACATACCCAGAGGACTTGACAGTCTGAGTTATTGTTGTCCTGTACACCATCATCATCCCGAAAAAGAGAAGACTTATGATGCCCATGAGACTCTCACAAGGCATCACCTGGTGAACTCATGTAATCCAACTATCCTCCCGTTGTGATTTGGACTGTGGTGGTACTGCTGGCAAGTCGGTTTGTTGCTTGGAAAACTCAGCAGTTCGTCCTTTAGGGGGAAATTTGTATATCTGAAGTCTCTCAACGGCTGCAGAATTCGTGTTTTGAAAGTGTGGTGGTGTACAAACTACTCCATCTCGCAACGGAGGAGTCCTAAGGTCGCTGATTCCTTCCCTGAGGGAGAGAAAAGCCTTCCAGTAGCACTGCTTTCCCGTTCTACACTCAGGAACGAGAGAGGTCGGTCGCTATGTGATGCAGAGGGAAGCACTGGCGCTAGTCTGGGGTATGTCGGTCCTGTTTTTAAGCCTCCACTGTCATATATCCCGACTTCGGAGTGTTCCCAAACACAAATGTAGGGCGTGTACCCTGTGATTGTCAATATTCCGCACAACCCCTCTCTGCTTGGTTCCTTTCTTCTGCCTCTATGGAGAATCCCTTTTTTCCGTCAAAGAGTCCGCTCCTTTGAAAGCTTCTCAAATGGTGTGCCATTGCTCTCCTGCTCTACTGTAGGACCGGGTGTCCCGACGGGGTTTTAACAGCTACATGCGAGTCATCTGCAGCGTCATTCATAGTGGGAGTTCTGCTCCGCTTGGGCCTATACGGCAATGGAGGAGGCAAATATCGAATAAGGGTGGGGTATAAGTGTCTCTGCTGTGAGGAAACGGTGACAGAGTGAGGCGGAAGGGGAGGAACGGTGTTCCCTTGGGTCTCGGTGACCTTAGGTTCTTTTTTGTTGACTGTTCCCTTCCGTTCTAGAGCAGTTTTAAATGCCAAGATTGCAAGGGGAGAACTAGATACTGTTACTACAGATTCTACTTCGTATTTATACCCCAGCGGAGCCCAGTACACTGCCTTCCCAGGAGTAATGTTGGGCCCCTGCTGACTCCGTTGTGTGTGAAACAGTTTGGCGGAGCCGGCAGAACCGACTCTTTGGTTGCCAGTGGATCCTTGTGGTGGTAGTCTGACACAGTGTACCTGCATCATACCTCCGCCAACAGAATTCCCTCTTTTCTATGGCGGTGATAAGCCATGAAATCAAGTACACATGAATTTTGTTGCACAATTCAGCATGTCAACACGCCTGAGGGACCATCAGGGCACTCTGACTGAGTGCTCCAGTCTATTAGCACAAGCTACAAGGTTAACAAGGACTTCTACTGGTACCTTCACAAATGGGGCCACCAGATCTCCTAGTTAAGGAAACTTGATGATGGTGGCAGAGAGACTAGGACATACAAAGCCTAAGGCTTCTTGCTAGGACACAAACAACATACCAAAGAGGTTATGTAGGTGAGATACCAATTGCTGGCAGGCAACAGTGGGAAGAACCAAAGATCTCAAAGACCAGACTTATTGTGACCTGTTTACCTGAAACTGGGGACACATCTGATCACACATTGAGTCCAGACCCGAGGCCTAGGCCTGAAAAGACTTACCTGAACGATATGACACTCCTATCCACTTTATCTGGATGAGTAGAAGATATGACAATGAGAGAAAGACACCTCAGACAGACCTTTTAGGCAATTGTGGTTGAACCACTGAACCAAACTGGGGACTATGGGGTATCATTTGGAAGGTAGAAGAGACGTGGATGAGCTTCAAGAGTATTCAGGCCCGGGACAAGAGGCTACAGACGAAGAGGACACTTTCTATCCACTTGACCAGCAATCACATGGGTTGTGTCAATCTCCACATGTCTCTTTGGCCACTAGCCAAGGAGGATCCAGGGACGGGGATTTGGGCCGCAGGAACACGGACATTGTACAGTAATCATCGTGATGTAAACCATAGGGCAGTAGTATAAAAGGGCAGCAGAAGGAGAGGGAAAGCTAGCACATCTAGGAGCGCTGTACACATTGTGTCAGCCACTGTAACCGTTGCTCTGATAGCTGTGGAGGTTAGATTGCTTTGAACAAATTGTATACCAGACTCAGAATCAGAACACGGCAATGGATAGAATACGGCAATAGTCAGAACACGGTAAACAGACCCAGAACACTGAACAGAACAATGAAACTGTTGAAAGACACAAAAAGTGCAGACTTAACGGTCTTAAAACCTACCCTATACTGTCTCCTTGACGTCCTAGATGCTATTTGCCCAATACACCTTGACTTGACCAGTCAAACCTTGCAAAAAGCGCGAGCGACCCTTAGTTCACTAAGTGATCGACCGAGAAACCAGCTGCTATCAAGTCTAATACTTGACTTACACCCCCAAACTTGCACTCTGACTCTCTCTATTGAGGGGTTAGTTGTTGATAGTGTTGTGTTGTGTGTAGTTTTGAGTTCATAGCTCTGCTGCATTAGCATTTCGCATTTCGCATTCACACATACCTGATAGTTAGCGTTTCAGCGGAACACAAGCCTTCCATAGAATCGGACTCTCCTCAATGTTAACCTTTGGTTATCCACTCATTAAGGATATTGTGGTTCAGCCATCAGTTATATCTTCCCGTTCAGGCAATTTCCGCTTAGCAGAATTACATTCCGATGGTCCTGCCTTCTTTAATAGTGGTAGGTTCAAGATTCCACTGCCATAAATCCTGTCGGTCATCCACTATTACTGGACGGGATTCCACCATGTGTTCCTTCACGGCGGAATTGATCCAGGCCGGTTGGAATGTATGCGTGGGTTTCTTAGTCAAGTGGATTTATAATTTGAAGAAGGGTCCTCCGTTTGCATCTCTGTATTGGTTCCATAGCATAAGGGTTAACGTGTTGCGAACACCTCTTTTGAGACCAAGGATTTCTGCGGGGACTCTGGGTTCGATTCCTGGTGGGGCCGTCTGTCTTGAATGATTCGGTTTTTATTTTTCCGATGCAACTTGTTTTCCACTGCAATTCTGGTGGTTGTTTCTTGTTCAGTATCGGCGGATAGGACCTTTCAAGTGGCTGGATGGGTTTTCCAAGGGGTGGAAGTTGACCTTACAGTGTTTCCATGCTTTTATCGTTGACAGAATGTGTTTCCCAAGCGGTGGAACATGTTCTTCAAGTGGCAGAAGGGCTGAATTGGTGACCTAACAGTGTTTCCATGCTTTTATCGCTGACGGAATGTGTTCTCCAAGCGGCAGAAGTCGACGGATCATGTTCTTCAAGTGGCGGAAGGGCTGAATTGGCGACCTAACAGTGTTTTCATGCTTTATCGTCGACAGAATGTGTTTTCAAAACAACCTCTGCACCAATCGGCACTGTAGCATAGGGTGTTGCACCGTGATTTGCTTGATGCACATCAGATTGTTATCGCGGATGTCCCGGGTTCGACTCCCGGCAGTGCTGTCTCTTTCTAACGTTCTGGATATGCTCGTTGTTGTAAGGGAATATCCTCCTTCTCCGCTAGTCGTTTCCACCATCGTGAGGAATATTACAAGTTTCCGGAGTCGGCGCGTGGAGGGGCCGGCTTGCACCGTAGAGCTCACAGAGTTCATCGGGTAAGAGATTCAATGAAATTGTGTATCTCCACCTCGTGAGGCTCTTTTGAGGGCCCGTGGGGAATGATATAGGCAAAAGCCTGCAAATAAAAGTGAATAGTTCACTCTCGAGCGTGTCCTGCTCTTTATGCGAAATCTCCCGAACTACAGACACGGTGTTCGGGCTGTATCGGACTACGAGTAGGGTGTCTCACATATCCCTCAACTATCCCCTAACAAATGTATTGAGCTCGGAAAATCTTGGGACTCACTCCATCTTTCGAGAGCGGAAGAACGGAATGACTGGAACTGGATTTCATTACAAGTCGATGGGGCCGTTTGAAGACGGGATCGATGTGACGTTTCACATGTCATGTCCTCCTCCTCCTCCGTCTCTTGCACTTCTAAAAAGACAAAGATACCCTAAGTTCTCCATCATCTCGTTATATCTTGCAGGCCACTAATGGCTCCACATCACCAACTGCCAAAGTACGGAAACATCAGATACCCAGGCGCACGATGGTATGTATTAACCTCGGGGTGTTCGTGATGGTCTGATCCTTGGTCTCCCTGGTTCAATTTGAGCCGTTCAAATGTCATAAAGGTGGTTCAGCTACATCCAAGCTGATTCTATTTGGACTCGCAACCCGACAATCCACCCTTATAAATCACCCTCTGGAACAATTCATATGCAACATCCACATGCTCCAAGTAAGGCTGGCTAAGATTATGATTACATTCCATTGTAATGTAATGTAATGGTAGAATTACGATTACATATGGCTTGACTGTAATTTTAGGGCTAATATTATTGCACTATTACATTACAATATGTTATGATTATATTACATCATATGGTGGGCGTAATCAATTGTAATTTGATTAAATAGTGATGGTTGGTGGTGCATCTGGGTGCACTCGGAACATGGAACCTGTCCACTCAGCAAAAATTACAGCACTCAGTTGTCTTCCATTCTGATTGTTTCGGGTGAGGTTATACTGACCAGTCAGACACTTACGAACCCGTTCTCTACAAATTTCTCTTCTTTCTCACACTCTTTCCCACCTTTTGCAATGCTCGATGATGCTCAGCTGGTCAAGCACCTCCCCACCTTGCTTAATGCTCTGAAAGCCCGCATTGCTTCGCTACCTGACTCTCTCCCAGCTGGACAAGAAGGGAATCCACTTTGGTGCTATCTCAGTGATCTAGACATTGACAGGGAGGAAGGTGCAGCATATATGACAAACTGGTAATGGGAGCAAGCCCAAGGAGGAACAACGGCAGCACACTGTCCGCAGAAAATTTGGGCTCAACCTTGTCTGCTTGTTTTTGGAATTCTTCTCCCAACAGAACAGCATCAAGAGGGTTGATTTGGTTGGAATGCTGGTACAACGGATCTATCAGTTGAACAAGATGCTGGATTCTATGTAAGACTACTACTTCTTTTCCCATGTTAACAACTCAACACAACCCAAGATTATTCACCATTCTCACATCTGATTGAAGTATCAGCTACACACTATACATTTCCCAATCTTATCTCGCATTGCACATGATGTGCTTGCAATTCCTGGTGTGAACATCACAGTAGAATGCCTCATCTCAAGCAGCAAACCCACAATGTCGGATGCCTGATCCTCTATGGTTGCGGCAACTGTGTCGGCCACCATTGTCGCGAAATAATTACTCAAGGCTGGGTTCGGTGAGGGTCTCAACTACCTGGAGGGTATTACAATCCATTAATTATGATTAAATTTGATTATCTTTCGAATACAATACATTACAATACACTTACCATTATATTATGGCTTGGGGGCTAATATTAAATTATGATTACAGTACATTACGGACTGGCGGCGTATTTAATCATAATCTTCCAGCCTTAGCTCCAAGTAGGTCGCCCATCTTCTAAGCTCCGTCGTGAGACGTCTATTTGCTAGTGGGGTAGATAGGCTTACACAGCGACGTGGCCGTTGATGGTTGGAGCATACATTTGACACTGGGTATGTCCTGCTTGTTCCTTATTGGGATCTCTGCAGTAATACATCCTCCTCCTCCTCCACTGCTTGTTGTCAAGGCTGGTTCCCAATCTTAAGCTTGCACCTGTATTGGGGTAATTTCAACGGCCCATTTTTTGTCCATTATTAGGTCGCCTACAGTTCCATTCTTTGCGGATACATTTACAGTAGCTCTCAGCTAAAGGAATCCCATGATGAATTCCTCCCAGATACATTGAACCATCCGTACCTGTTCTCTCAAGATGCATAAATAATTGGCACAGTGATGAAGGGATCCGCAAATCAACCCAAATCATGTCGTAACCACAAGGCTCCTTTCTGTCTGAAAGCACTTCCTCCCCTTCCATGATCGATGATCATTACCAAGTTCGCCGACGGCATAGATGGGTATACGCCCATATTTTCTATTAGGAGTGATAAGATAGCTCCGAGAGTGAAAGTGTTCCCTTTAGACGTGGCCTCGACAGGGCATGGAAGTTTCAAGGAGACGCATCCCTTTATTAATTAGTCCTTCTGCAGACCATTCCCCAAGGATCTCAACCGGGCTCGTATATAAAGGGACCGATGGCCTCACTGACCATAATTATAATGTTTTATAAGTTCGTCTCCACCACCATTCTCGTATTCCTTGTGCTCGGCCAGGGGGCTGTCTCTGTACCCCAAACCTCGGGAACCATCTGTACGTCTCCAATCTTGCGAGCCTGTAGACCTCGCTGACCTGGGTCATCCAGGCGGAGGACCCACTGTAAGCACTACTTCCTATCTCTCAATTGAATCAGTTGTCCTCATGTACGCAGGACCCTCCCTGTATGAGACCCCTAGTGTCCTCTGAACGTAAATTCTAATCCGTCGCATGCCCTGGTTTAGGCCCCTCCGGCGAGCACTGTTGCAAATATGCAACAGCTCCACCACAGCCTACTGGCTTGTGAGCTGCCATGTTTTGCACCGTCGACTCCAATGTTGTCTGATATTCTTGAAAGCTGCGGGCACATTTGTCCCTTGTAGAATGCGGGTGGTCCGCTCTGATCTCATAGGTTTCGCGCAGATCTACTACGCGTACATGATTATGCCAGGTGTATCAGAATATTGAATGTAATCTTGGTGGTTCTGCGGTGAAGGCGCCCTGGCGCGCCCAAAATGCCGCTTTCACCGTCCCGTTAGTGATAACAATAATTCGAAGGCTCTGTGTTGACACGGTCGTGACCTCATCTCCAACTTGCCTAGCTGTCAAGCCCCACACCAGCTTGAATCCCAATGGAGCGACGCTCGGTGTCACCGGTGCATTCACCGTTACTTGGTTCATCTCCGTTGCCCTGGTCCTCCTTGTGGATGGCCTCATCCTCCTCTCGCATAAGGGCCATTCGGCGCTCCCACTCGGTCTTTCTCCTTTCCTTGAGCTCCCGCAGCACCCGCTTCTCTTCCTCCTGCGCTTCCAGCCACTCCTGAACCCCTTCGACAGCACCAGCCGGATCCCGTTTCTTCGTGAGTAGATATCCCTGGATTTGTGCAATGGAATGGACTTCGGGTGGGACAGCTCGGGCGAACTTGGTGGCGTAGTCATCTAGTTCAACTTCGGTGTAGACGGGGAAGGGAGAAGCATCGTTGCTGATCAAAGGGAAGAAGCGTTTGAAGACCTGTTCCATTTGAACTGAATCCGCGAGTTTATATTGAACCTAAATAAGACTCAATTGCTGGAAAACGTCTGAGAGACCGACGAGGAGCTCACCTTCACGTCCATCCTTCCTGCCCGTATGAGTGCGGGGTCCAAGTTCTCGATGTGGTTCGTCTATTCGAGGCGTCTTCGTATCAATATCAAGAGGATTAGGTCGTAAAACGGCACGAACAGTCGCAAAGGTTAACCGCCCCTCCTCGCTAGACACGGAATCGAGGACATTAAGCAAACCCGAAAGGGTCACCTGTGATTGTGGCGGAGCCGATTGATGCCAGACAGGTTTCCCGTACTGGTCTATATCGGGCTCCTCCTCGCCGTTGTCTCTAGAGGGAAACGCGCAATCGATATCTCTGACAAAAGTCTCGTCACGAAGGTACAGGTTTTTGGGTCATGTGAAACGCACTCGAGCAAGAGAATACACCGGGATGGGGTGGCTCTGATTAGGTTTGCTAAACTGTAATCGTCGACGCCTGGGTTCGCCAGGGATATAAAATATATTTCCAACCCAAGTTCACCAGCCTGTCAAGAACGAATTATCAGGAAACAACGTGGCGCCGTGAATAAGACTCACAACAGCATGAATTGTAGAACTCTTTCCCGTTCCCGGTTCACCATCTTTAGAATGTCATCGCAGGTCAGGAACGGCTGCAAACTCGGAAGAAATGACCCATTACAAAGTAAATATCCTGCAATTGTGTTAAACGAGATCATACTCCGACGAAGCAATTCACCTCTGCGGTGGGGTATCCCCGCCGCGTTATACCAGGCCTCGCTTGCCAAGAACTCCCGTGCATCCCCGAGAATCATCTCCTTGACATTTGAAGGTAAAATCAAGGTGGAGACAGGCCTTCGCGGCTTGGTGATGGTCTTGCCCCAGTCTCCCCTCTAAAATGGCCGTAAGAACTTGGTCTAAAAAGACGTGTCGTGAAAACTCGCGCTGTCCGCAAGATGAACGGTGACTTTGGATAACCCAATCTCCAAGTATTTCTCTCGTGCGCAATTAATTAAATCAGTTAAGACGTTCTTGTCGGATGAATGCAAACTGCGAAAGGAACGATGGGTTTGTTGAATTCTGAATCTCTGGGATGCGTGCAGGACCATATACATACGTAATAGTGATGGATCCGCCGGTCGTGGGTTGATCATTCATCCAGTTAGTCTGGAATCCGGGCTTAACC